GTTTAATATATTAAACTGATGTGGAATATGAAAATAAGCAAAACACGTGAAAACCACAGCTAATATAAAGTTGCAGTGAAATAGCATGTATCAAAACTACATTTTGATATTGCCATATTGTAAGTAGTGTATGCCACTGAAAATTGATCACTTTTAGGAAGGGTATGTAACAGCCATTTCCAACACAAAATATTCATACATTCCAATCATAAAGATGTATTTAGATTGGGGATTTAGATTATTGAAGGTGGAACTATCTCTTGTACTTAATAGTAAAGGAATATTGATTAACTTGGGGCACCAGAACTCCTTTTTTTGTGCTGGCATGTTTTGCCCTCCATGGGCTTTGCTTCATTTTGCCTTAGCTTACCATCAAGCAGATTGTTTTTTTGTTCTCCTGCTTCTCTATATTTTGAATATCTGCTGCCTGTGTGGAGGGCAGATCTGTTAATCTTATCCCTTTCTCCCTAGCCCAGTTTCCAGCCTTTGTCTTCCCCTATTGCCTCTCCTACTGGGATTGGCCGTCATGCATCTCCTTTCTGAGGTGTTCTATCTATTTATTGGGAATTTTCATGGGATACCTTTTGGGATCTTCTGGTATAGACACAGTCTTGTATCAAGTTTGTTTTCCTTCAACTTGGGACTTATGGACAGCTCTTTTCCTCCACTGGTCCATTTTTCTGGGGGTGTTACTCCTGTGCCTTTAGCATCATTGTTACTTCGATTTTTTTCTTTTTTGGTTCTTCTTTTGTCTCTTTTGCCAGTGCATTCTTTATTCATGTTCCATGTCCGTCACCTTCCTGTCATTAACTTGTCCTACATCTATGCATTCCTTCATTAGTCATTATTTTCAGTGTAATTGGAGTTGTGTGATTGATCTGTTCCACCTCACTCACTTCTTGGTTCTTTCCCTTTTTCCTATATTGTTTTTTATTACACTATGATGTTTTTTTTTCTCCATGACTGAGGATGACCGTGGTCGGTGTTTTGTATTTTTATGCCCACATTCCTGTTTTTCATCCCTCATGGCACTATCTTCAGTTTGTTCACCATGGGGTTGGGTACTGGTTTTGTGCCTTGCCTTTTGAGCTTGTTTCAGATTTGTATGTTATTGTTTTGGTTCCTCATTCACTGGCCTTAGCTGTTGATGCATTCAGACAGGATTGGGACCTATTTATACATTTAATTGCTCATACTTTTCATCATCTCCCCGGATGATTTTGTTCATCCTTGCCATCTGTGTAAGGTCTTTCTTATTGCTCCTTCCTGGCTGATGCAGATCTGAATTTCTCAGCTTCTTCAGTCCAGTTTTCCTACCCTCCACTTTCGTGGCTTGTGATTCTGTGCTTCCTATTCTTCATTTTTGTTTCCTTCCATCTCCCACCTTTAATCTCAGTCGGATCCAGTTGGCCTTCTATATCCCGTACCAGCTCTGGGTTGTTTCATTGCATTCATGGCTTCTTTTCAAAATAGGTTTTCACAGTGCCATGTTAACATTCCTCCATCTCTCCACCATATTTTCTTCCCCCAGTTTCTTCCAGTGGAGTATGGGGGTCCTTACCACTTTCCAATTCCAAGCTACTGGGGTGGTGGACCATGGAAGCATCCTCCTGAATGTGATAATGATAAAACCATTCAGTTGAGAGTAGGGCAGTGTTGTTCTGCTGGTGGAGATGACAAGATTTCCTCCAATTTGATGCTTCATCTCTATATGGGCTTATCTGAGGGGATGTTGTAGCTTTCAAGTGAGCAGTCAAAATTGCAGTTCACCCCTTGATTGGGATCTCTCATCTTGCCCCCACATGGAAGTTGGATCCCAGTGGCTAGGTTTTGGATTCAGAGCTGAACTAATCATCATAAGTTTGCACACATGTATTATAGGTATCTCTGTTTCCTCACTCATTTATACTCTTGTTCCCTCCATCAGTGTTGTGGGTCATGGCGATGGAACTTGCAGATTAATAAGGTTC